GTGTTAGATGAGATCACGGTCATTGGAAAACACAACCACAGCTTCGACTTTCTTCCCAAAAACATTCACTACAACATTTCAAAAGAGCAACATGATGATATTTTAGCATATGCTAAGGCTGGAATGAAACCTGCACAAATATGTGCACAAATGAGTCTTTCAGTAAATACTAAAAGGGTACGAAAAGTCACACAAAATATTTATGACATGGTAAATTCTCAAGAATCAAAGAAACTTTCCATTTATTGTGATGAATTGGGTGATTTTACAACTTATTTTGTAAAAAAATTTTAGTGGACAGTTCGTTTCGTGTTTTTTTTCTTAATACTATTTTGGTTGAAAGTGTTCATGATATCATATTCATTGATGATACTGCAACCACAAACCATTTCAACTTTCCATTAGTTGTTGGAAATTTTGCCGACAGAACAAACAACACACAAATTTTATTTTTTGCCATAATGAGAAACAGGACAACACAATCTTTTGAAAATCTTTTTAAATTTTTCAAACAAAACAATGTTGTGTTTAAAAGTGTTTTTTTGTGATCGTTGTGCTTCTCAACTCAATGCACTTGGTAATGTTTATCCATCTTCAAAAATATTGCATTGTGTTCGTCATATTCGCAGAGATCTTCAGATATCTTTCGGGAAAACATCCCAAATTGTGGCAGACTTTGATAACATGATTTATGGCAAATTGAGTGAATTAGAATTTGTTAATAAATTAATTACTATGAGTGGTTATAGTATGACAAAAAAAACAAAAAGAAGAAGCTGAAACCATTTTTAATGATTCAAATGGTTTAATTGGAGATTTTACAGACGATGAAGCTGCTTATTATCTTGAAACATTAAATGAAATAAAACAATTGAGGAAGACTGAAAAACGTGTTAAAATAAATAAAATGGATAAAATAAGAGTTATCACAAATTTGATTGAACAACGCAACTCTTGGCTGCCATCTGTTGTGATGATGCATACACAAACTAGGACAACTAATCGCATTGAAGGGTATTTTGGTAACTTCAAGCAAAAGCTTGGCAACAGGGAGGCTTCGCTTGTTGAAATAGCAAGGACGATAGTAACAGATAGCAGAAGATTTGTTTTGAATGGCTGTTCAGACGAATTAGAACATATTGAAATAGCTCAATTGTTAATTCCACCAAGTCTGTTGCCACTTTTGCCATCTACGATAGTAAACAAATTGTGTTTTTTATATATCAACATAAACACAATAATTGCACCTATTACTGACGGGGAGTATAATGATACAAACTACTCTTGTCCTGTTTTCAAATGTGAACACGTTCCGTGTATTCATATTTTAAAATATTGTGTTGAAAGGTCGATATATCCAATACCTGTAACTGCTTTTTCTAATGAAGTTCTCCGTTCAAATTGTTACAAAAAGGTTACACATCAGAAGGTGTGTAAAAAGGAAGACGACGAAGAAAAGGCAATAAATCACAACGACATACACAATCAATTGGATGCTGTGGCACCTCTCATCAAAAGAGATAAGTTTACAAGAAAACGATTTTTTTCTTTTTTGGGACATTGTCAAGAACTTCCTCTGCAGAAAAAATCGTGTCAGAGTCCGGTTCAACAAATTGGTAATACAATAACCGAAACTGTCACCAATACGATAGTATCTTTAACTTCCGTTGTTACAAGAAAAAGTTCTTTCTGTGATAATTTGATAGACCCGAGAAGACAACATCAAGTTGGTTTATGCCCCAGGAAAATGGTTGATTGTGTTGAAAAGTGTGTTTCTTCAAAAAAACCAAGAAAGGATGAAAACGATGATAAAGTGAAACGTGTGAAATTGTGTAGTGTTTGTAAAATGTCTGGCGATAATAAACAAAATTGTCCGTTTAAAACAAACACGGGTTCCAAGCAGGTAACTAATATAATCACTAATTAAGTGAATATTGTGGTATTGTTTGGTTCAAACATGGTTGAATAAACAAATTGATAATTATAATATTTTAAATTATAAATTATAAATTTATTACATGATTTAATATTGAACATTTTTTTATTATGAATAACACATCTTTAGTTTCTTGTTATTTCTGATAACAAATCTAAGAAACTATACATTTAATAAATTGTTATTATAAAATAAATGATTAACAAAAATTAAAAATTATAGTATTTAAAATATTTTTGGAATGTTTCAAATAACAAAAATGAATATTTTTATCAAAAAAATAACCCGATTTTTCTTAAAATAGACGGGGTGAGGGTGGGAAAGGTCGGCTCCAAAGAAACCATCATGTTGTAAGACAAGCATCAGTTGTTAATATCATTATATTCATATTTTTTAAACATTAAAATAATCAAAAGCAAAAAGTAAGTTTAATTTTAAAACTATTTATTGTTGAACTTTTCGAATTTATGTTTTTTAAATACAAATATAAAAACATCATTTATGTTAACAAACGTTGTTGTTCTTTATTATCAACTTGTTAATATATGTTTATGATATTATCGAATTAATGATTTATTTTCTAAATTTATATATTTTGATGTTTCTCTATGCTCAAGTTCAAAATTGAACAAAGGAAATCATAAATTAATCGTTAATAATTATTTACTTGAAATTATATTTTACACAAATAATTAAGTATACATAACTGACAATTTATAACAAGAAGTATTATAGTAAATGTCAAGCTGATCAAATCTTTTTTATTGTATATTTTTTTGGTTATGTTACATATTGTTTGATATGTTTTCAATTTTAACATTGTTTTTTTTGAAATTTATTGTGTGTGTTTTAAGCTAAGTAAAGCTTTTTTGATTATTTATATCCCATATTGTTAATGTTTTTTAAATAATAAATATCATTGGTGCCTATTGTCGTATTCGTCGGTTTTTTAATTGTTTTATTATCCTATTTTTACCTGTTTTTGTTTAAAATAATCATGTGTTAAGTTTTTAAAAATTAAATTATTCTGTTTTATTTTTCAAATAGTTAAACATCTAAACAGAATATTATATAAAATTGACACAGAAATTTATTGTATGAAATATACTAAAATGATCAATATTGTAGATAAAAAGGATCAAATATTGTTTCAAGCACAAAATTAATTTAATATATAATTTAAGTATATTAAAAAATAAAAAAAATTAAAAAACAAATTACTAAACTTGACTAATTTATATATACCCATTTTCAATTGTTGTTTTTAATATGCTTCTAACAAATTTTTTTTCAACCAAATAAACATGTATTGTTATAATTTATATTTTTATATCGACAATAAAAAACAACAATAATGTACAAATTCTATGGAACTAAAATGTTTTAAACAATTTATAACAATTGGCTCGATATTAGAACATGTAAATATATTCTAAAAATAAACTAATTAAGTTTCTACATGTATACAAAAAATAGAGTATTTCGACCAAACCATAAAAATTACCAATTTGAATATTATTAAATGTTGTTTTTTATTTTTTATTCATATGATATGAACAAATGCATATATTTAATGAAAAAAACAAAACAATAAAACTATATTATTATGATATTTGGGATGTTAACATTATTCCTTTGTCTGTTCTTTGTATCCCCAGTGTCATCACATGACTTTGAATCCTTTTCTTTTGATGAATATGAATTATACGACGATTTAATGAGTTTTACTGATGCGAACACTGATGATGAAGCACTCGATTCTTTCATTGGGTTATTTGAATCAGATAATGATCCCGACTTTATTCTGAATGACGAAGGCTTTTTTAGTTGGATTGGTGATAGATTTAATGAAGCAAAAGATGCTGTAGTACGCACAGCAAAGAAAGCTGGTGAAGCCATCAAGAATGGAGTAAAAAATGTGGTTGAAGCGGGTACCAAATTTTTAGCTAAAAATGGTGACCTTATTGCTAAAGGATTACAAACAGTTGGTAAAGTGGCTGGTGTAGTTTCTAAAGTAGCTGGTGTAGTTAGTAAAGTGTCCACAGTGATAGCTCCATTTACTGGACCGTTTGCTCCTGCGTTTGCGGCTGTTGGTGCCGCTGCTGGTACAGTTTCAGTTTGTTATTATTTGTTCATAAGAAAAGGCTATTTTTGTTTGGTAAAAAATAATAAAAAAATACCTAATATGTGACAAATATATGTTTATTCTAAAATAATCATAATTAAAATAAATATATAATAATTGGAATTGGTATTAAAATTTAACAATATAACAAGCAGGGTGTTGCTAAAACTGTTGAATATGGTGCAGACGTTGCAACCAAAGCAGTTAAAGTTGGCACCGAGTTTTCAAAAGCGTATCAATCCACAGGTGGTAGTTTTGTTGATAAAATTAAAGCTGGTGCCGAAGAAGGAGCGAAAAAAATAGTTGAAGAGGGGATAACACTTGGGGTACCAAAATCAATGAAAAAAGCAACAAACAAACTAACAGGAAAATTAAGTAGCATTATTGGTGGCAAATCAAAAAACAAGAACTTCATTAGCAAAATTGGGAAAAGTTCATTTGGCAAGAAAATAGGTGGACTGTTCGATAAAACGAGCAAAGTGATCAAGAGTGTATCTAATGGTATTAAGTCGGTTGATACCGGTATAGAAAATGGTGTAAAGAGTTTTGCACGAAACCAGATTTCCAAGTCAGATTTTGGAAAAAAAGTACTTGACACTTATGACAGAGTGAAGAATGGAATTGGAACCACAACAGACAATGAAGAAGAAGAAGTTGGTAATAATATAGAAGATACGAATAATAATGGTGATGATGGAGATGAGCAACCAAATGAGATGGTCGAACAACCTATTAAAACAGAAAGACGTGTAAGAAAGGAAACAAACAAAAAAAGAAAGAGGTATGGAAGGAACAAAGCAACAAGGAAAAATATGAGAAATAAAAATAATAAAAAAGTTAGGGGGAAGAGAGAAAAAACAAAGAAAAGAAAGATGAGTAGGCAACAAAATAAAAAGAAAGGAAGGAAAATAAAAGGAAAGTCGGCGACCAAAAGAAAACAACATAAAAAGCTTAGAAAGGTACGAGGGAACAAAAGATATGCTTTCACTAAAAGAAATAACATGCCGAAGTATTATAAATCACAGTATAAATCTAAAAATAACAGAAAAAGAACAACCAAATCAAAGTCACGAAAAATACAGAAATTGCATCAAAAAAGAACTGTGAAGACAAAGAAACCAAAGGCAAATAAAATTAATCGATCAAACAAGTCTAAAAAATCGAACAAATCTAGGTCGTCAAAGAAATCAAAAAGAAGATAAAAAAGTCAAGATTTGTTATTTTTAAAATAAGACCATGTATAACTTTTGAATTTATAAAAAAAATATGAAGGTTTAAATGATTTTAAACTACAAAAAAATACACTGTCCCGAAGATTATAATTAGACTTATAGTTCTTCAATATTAATGCGTTGTTAAAAGAAAAGATATTCACAATTAATAAAAATTTGTCAAATTGAATATTTTAAAGAATGTTGAAAATTATTTTTTATTCGAGAAAAGATACTCAATGGTGTCTGTTTCGGTAGTCTATTTGATCTATGTATTATGCAAGTTTTTTTATCACTTATTCATTATTAGTTTTTAATAAAACAGAAAAATTAATTGTTCTTTTTACTAACTATAGAGTTTATCTCATCTTACAATATTGTTTTTTACCAACTTTGATTGTTTTACATCTCTAAAATAATAAAATTCAATTTCAGATTCTTTTTCAGTAGAAATAATAAAAAATCCCACTATTAGGTTGTTTTGAAACAACAGAACGTGCGAAAGAGAATTGAAAAAAAGCAAAAACCAACAAAATATTAGCTTTTGTAATTATTAAACTAAATGTTGTTCAACTACAAGTGAACTTGTTTGTTATTAATAACATTTATATATTCATTTGTGTGTTATTATTTTAACAAATAACTAAAGTTTAAATAAAAATTAATATTATTGTTCACCAGAAAACTTTTAACAAAATATAATAAACAACATTGTTATAAACAAACCATTTTAAATAAATTAATTCATGTATATTATAAATTGAAATTATTTTAAAACATAAAATAAACAACAATAAAAATAAACTCATATTAAAAAATAAAAAAATTGAATTTTAAATTATTAGATGGAAATATTAACTCAATTAAACTCTTTTTGTGATGCAACTTACAGTGAAATTATATATGATAGTGACATCCATCCAATGAACCGTAACCACTTTGCTTTTAGTGTAGCTGGTCGTCATAATGTTGGTATCATTATAATAACAGACAAAGGATATTCCTTTGGTTCGTATGTCTCTCAAGTTCCACAAATTCCAACCGTAAAAAGATCTTCTATTTCTGAAGGAAAATCGTTTATATTTACTTTAAACTCTCCAACAATTCCCCCAACAAAATTTGAAAGGACTGATTATTGTATTCCTCGTATGACTGTCGACCAATCGCTGGAAATTTATAAATACGACAAGAGCGAATCAATTAGATACAACTTCGCTATTAACTACGCCTTTGGATTTTGGGACAATCAACTCTTTAAAGATGAATCGGGTTATTTGTACTTCGGAATTGAAGGTTCGTTTGTTGGCAAACCTACACACGAGGATTTGACTGGAATTAAACAACGAATGCCTTCAGCTAATTCGTACTTTCCAATTGCAAGAATTGTCGTGGTTCAATTTTACTAATTCATTTTATGGTTTTTAATTGTTTAATTTTATTTAATTGTTCCCAAAAATCACAAACCAAGCTCTATTATTCATTTATAATTTATAAATAAAACTCAATTATGAATGATTTAAACTGTTGTACATCTTATTTTCTCTTCAATAATCATTTCATTGTTAATTCGAGAATTTTCTTTATTGATCTTTTCAATATAAGTCAACATAACATTTTCAAGTGCTTCTGTTACATTAATATTGTTTTTTGCAGACGTTTCAAAGAAAAGACAATTCAAGTCATTTGCCATTTGTTGTCCTTCATCAAAAGACACTCTTCTATCCATTTCCAAATCACTTTTGTTACCACAAATAACTATTGGTAAACATTCTTTGTGATTTTTGTGAAGTATATTTACAATATTTTGGTGGATTTGTGTAATTTCATCAAAAGACTCTCTATAATTAATTGCATACACAATCACAAATACATCACTTAAACTTATTAAATAATCAATCAATGAATGAAAACCACAATTTGAAAATGTATCAATAAAATCCACATCATAGTTTGTTTTATCGAGTTGAACACATTTACTCAATGTATCCTCGCTGGTTGGATCAAATTTTTCACAAAAATTGCCATTAACATATCGATTGAATATCGTTGTTTTACCGACATAACTTTTACCTAATATAATTACATTGAATTTGTTGTTTTTCATCGTATTACAATATTAAGTTTGTTTGTTTTAATTAAAATAATCAAATGATTTTAATGATATATTTTTTTTAAAAAAAAACTTTTTGTTTAATAAACTCTGGACATAAAGTCCGACTTTTCTACTTGTTTTTCTGTTATTTTTCAACTTTTTATAAAAAAATACACGAATTTTGTCAAGAAAAGCGGGAAACAAATTTAATTATCATTATTTATTTTGGAATGATTTTGATGTGTTTTTTAGTTATTATTTAGTTTATCCCACAATAAAACATTCATTATTATTCTAAAATATTTAATTACTTAACTAAACTTTCATTAAAATTTAGAATAGTCTTTAATAATTAACAAAAAATAGACTCAAAACTAAAAAAATCATTCAAATAAATATTGCCGTTATTCAAAATTATAATTATAATACGTTTAATTATAATCACTAAAATGATATAAAGGGTTCCATTTACTTATATTATTATTGTAATATATTTTTTCAATAAAATTGTGACTACATTTGCTTTGTCTTTTCATATTTTATTTGAACAAATTTTATATTGAATTAATAATGAAATTATTGCAGACCATAAAAGCCAATTGAAAACGAAATTGAATTAAAGTTGGAGGAAAAAATCCGGCTAGAAAAAAAAATCCACTCTTTTTTAAAAAATAGTTAATGAAATCAATTTAAACTAAACGACGATTAAAATTTATTTTTTCAACAAAAAACAAATTTTTTCATACAAAAAATTTGAATGAAAAAACTCCAAATTTAAAATAAAATAAAGTCAGTCTGGAAACCTTATTTATATATTTCCCTTTGAAAAAAGGCATTTTTGGGATGATTAATTAATAATACTATTATTTAAACTATTTCCCGATAATATAACCAAAAACATAAATGGGGTTGAAGTCATTTAGCCAATCATTTCATTTTTTCTATTTGTCAATAATGGCAATAAATTGGTTATTTTTTCGATATAATACGGGATAATAACGTAAACAAACCGAGTTTATTGGAATTATTATTTTAAAAGTGTTGCCTTTGGGAATGTACATTTTCAACACTTCTATTCTCAACCATCAAAGAGTAAATAATTTGTTCATTATGTATTCCAGATGGATTGTCGGATTTATACTTTTCAATTTCCAATTAAGTAAAATACAAGTGACCAACAGTAATAAAAAGAAACACAAAAAGGATTCTTTTTATCATGGGTATTTTTAATAACATGATAAATTTATCCGAAAGCAATAAAAGCTCTGGAAATGTTAAATCTTGTTGTTGTCTTTTGCCAAGATGTCAACACAGATTGTATTTGTTAACTCACGATTGAACTGTTTAAGAAAATGGACTCAACGAGGGTTTCTTGTCCATGTAATTCTCTTTTTTGATTTTCGAAAAATGAAACATCTAACACCTGTAAAAGATGGCTTGAATGTGGAGGTTCTAACACAATTTTCACTCCAGCTTTGCTCAACTTCTGCACAGCAAGTACATCAATATGTGAGCCATACCCATCCAATAGCAATGCAGCTTGACCATTGTAATTTGATAATGTTCTTTTGAAACCGAGTTCTGGGAGGAACACACAATCCAACCATTTGTGAAATATTTGTGTGTTTAAAAAAGCAGTTTCTGAGTATTCGAACAGAACTTGATTATACCATCCAAACGTAAACAACTCAACATCTATCGTTGAAGGAGGAATTACAATCATTGGTTTTGAGTAACTCCCATTAATACAAGTACTTGCTATGAATGCAATTCTGTTTCCACGACGATCGATTGGAATTACACAATCATTTGTTTTTGCCCTTCCCATTACAACATTTTTCCTGTATATTTTGCCCACCCACTTTTATCGATATTCCAAATAAATTCACATGGAATACAATTCACTAACATTTTGAGTCGTTCAAACCAATTACGTATGACTTTCTCCTCTACGTTAAATCTGGAAGTTTCCATGCAAACAGCATTTGCGACTTTTATTTTTTCATTGGAGTTAACATAGTAATACAATTTATGAAGTGGCACGAACATATTAAACTCTCTTTCTTGCAAAGCCACCAAACCATAAAAATCAGTCGGTCTTTTTTTCTTCTGTTGTTCTTCAATGTATTCAATTATGCGTTTTTATTTTTTTCTGTTAAGGAAGTAGGCCTTTCTGAATATCCAGGATTGTTTGTGAAATAGAGAACTTGATTGCGAAGAACGACTTGTGAAATTGATGGAAATAAAGTGAAAAATGCTGAATATGAATTAAGAATGGTATTGTTCTTGATGTAATTGTAGAAAAAACAATTAATGTCGCTTGTTAGGACTTGTAATATTCGCAAAAAATGTCAAAAAGGAACGAACGCAATGTACGATAATATCTGTTTCTTCTTTGAGTTGGTCTTCATTGGATGTTATTTAAAAAAGTTGGATTTCTAATTCTTTGTTGTTTTCAAGTTTAAATTCGTTGAAAAAAGACAACAAGCAATATTAATATCATATTACCAGAACTATTTTTTGATAAATCCTTCTATTCATCTTTTGAACAAATGTCTACAGTTTGAATATGACTGTTTAGTTTTTCGAGTTTTCGAACTGTATCATTATTGTTAACTTCTTCAATTCATGGCATTCCAACAACAAAATGCACATTATTCATCATCTGAGTAAACCGAGATCTGGGGAAAGACTTTATTTGTGTTGCAAATGCGGCAATATCTTCATATTTATCTAAAGCTATCATCATCTTTTCTCTGATATCTTTAACACAATCGATTATCTTTGTGATCTTAGTCAATTGTTCCTGTATTTCTCTTGTTGTGTCTAATACTTTACACAATAAAAGGTTTTCCTTTTTGTTGTTATAAACGGCAACTTCTTTTTCTATTGTTATACTCAGCGTCTGAGCATAAACAGCACAATCAGTTAATTTGTCCAAGTTCGCTTTCATTAAAAAAAGATCTGAAATTCAAAAAAGAAATTTGAAAAACAAAAACAAATAAAAATAACCTATTTATTATCTAAAAAATAAGGTTTTTGGAATAAAAAAGTGACTTGTTCAATTTTGTTGTGTTCTTTACTAATTTTAAAGAAAATGGGTGTCAAACTCATTTTATTTTTAAAATAATTATGAACCTGATAAATAAACTAATTTTCAAAAGTCGATAGTGGGAATTTTTCATTGTGTATTGAATCGGGATTTAGTATGCTAAAAAAACACCAGTTTTTTGGTGTTTTCTGGTTTTCAAGTAAAAAGTTGCAAAGAAGTATTCGAAGTTATTAAAAATATATATTTTCGAATTAAAGTTGCACAAAAAAACAAAGTAAAAAAATCCAGGTTTTTTCAAGTTAAACAAAAATCAAAAGTGCATTTAAAAAACGAGTTAATTTTATTGATGTAACGGGAAACAAAAAATGACATATCGTGGGAAATTAGGAGTAATTTTTGATACTTTATGAAAACAACATTTAAAAATAGACCAAACATTCAGATCATAACCGGAAGATAACTCTAACTATTTTGTTGATCGAAATGTAAAAATAATCAGATCACCCATTAATTAAAGGTAAATGTGTTTATTATTTTAACATCAAAAATAACATGACTATGAAAACAAAGCATTTTAAATGAAAAAATTATACGATTTTTATAAGTTTAATTAATTCAATTAAAGTTTGGTATCTCTTTAACCATATGCAAGTGATCAACAAGGTTGACTCCTCAATAATTGAATGGCTAAAAGATGGCAAGTCTTACAAGTCAATAGAAAACCAACTTCATGTATCTCCCAATAGAGTATCACGTATTAAAAAATGCTTGATTCCAAAGAAAAGTGGTTTCTAAAAAAAATTGGCAGACCAATTTCTGTTAATATAAATAAACAAGTCGAAGTATTTAACAAAACTATCAATGATCCATCACTGTCATGCGCTTGTCTAGCAACTTATATTCAATCATCAACAACATCTGTCCAATGCTTACGTATCAGAAAGAAGAAAAGTGTATTCCAAAACATTGGAAGATTATTTAAGGCTCTCAAAACTGAGTGGAATGATATTCCGATGAATACAATCAACAACTTGATGAGTTCTATGCCAAGAATGTTTGAATTGTATCTTCAAGAAAAAGGCTATTCAATTGGACATCTTCTATAATGCCTTTGCATTCAAAAAATTGCATTAAAAAAGAACAAATTTTAAACTGAATTGAAATCTATTTATACTACTTTTTGTTTAAGATATTCAGTTTTTTGATTGGTCTTTGTTTTTCAAAAAAGTCGATATCTTAATATAAATAAATTAGGATATTTTTCCAATGTTTTGCGTTAAAAATAAACCAATATAAATCGGGTGCTATTGACTTTTGAAATCAAGTTTACTTTATTTTTTATTAATTTTTTATTATAAACTGTATTTCAAAAGTAAGTACTACCGCTAAAAATTGAGAAACTATTATTAGCTGTTTTCCCGTTTTATTGTTATTAAAGACTTTGTTTTATTATTTATCTTTTTAAAAAAAACAAAAAACGGTACCGACTTTTTTGACCTAAAAAAACAAACAAATTATATTATTTTCGTAATTTTTCGGGCATTTGTCGAAACGTTGGGAAGTCTTTTGCAATTTTTCTAAGACAGTTATTTCTTTTCGAGTCAAAATAATGAAAACAATTTGAATACATATAAAAAAACAAACAAACATCCTCTGAAGACGAACAAAGAAATGATAAAACGAGTTCAAAAAGAAAAAAATAAAAAAAAAATTGATAACGGATTAAAGCAAGTGTCCGATAAATTCGCCGTTGTTTTCCTTGCACAATTCAAACCTCTTTGGAATCGACATTATGTAGTTATCAATTGTCTCAAGAGGTATTGAATCCCAAGCCCTTTCAAGAGCCTCTTTGAGTTCTTCAATGTTCTCGAAGATTTCCTTTTCTTTTCTTACTAAGGTGTCCAAGTATTGCCATAAGTGTTCAATTGGGCTGAGATCGGGGCTATTTGCAGGCCATTCT